GTAGAATTTATCTTGTTCAATATATATGTAAATCTAGTTAACTTTGGTTACAATTCTTACTCTCTAGAAATAGTATTTGTAAAAAAAAATACATAAACAATTTTTATAAATAAATAGAATTTATCTTGTTCGCTATATGCCACTACCGGATATACTATTCGTAGAATTTGGTTTTTGACGTAGCCAAGCACAGATTTTCTAATTATCGCGAATTAAGCCGAAGACGCAGGAATATGCAGTTGTAACTATAATTCCCCAGCGTGTTGAATTTATTAAAACCACCAACTGTTGATAAACACAAGATATAATATTCGTAAAATTTGGTTTTTGACGTAGCCAAGCACAGATTTTCTAATTATCGCGAATTAAGCCGAAGACGCAGGAATACGCAGTTGTAACTATGATTCCCCAGCGTATTGATGTTAAAAAAAAACACAAGCTGTATTTACTATACATACGTCTCTTACATAACACACTTAAAAAAAATTATATATATACTGGTATTATAGAACGAGCTTACCAAGATTTTATTATTCTTCTTTTGTTACTCAATTCCTTAGTGCTTCCTGCTCCTTCTCATATCTGCCAAAGCCACGTGCCAGTTAATACCTTCAATCGAGATTTCCCATAGGGTACTTTTTAAGCCTCCTATGAAATTTCTCTATCTGGCAACTTTTAAAGATCCCAGATTGGTATAATGGTTCCGCAACTGTTGTCAACTATCGGCAGCAAATCCGCTTCAGCCTCGTCCGCTCTGCTCACGGGTGGTAATTCAACAAAACACAACTCGTCCACTCTGCTCAAGAGGAATATATCAAAAAAAACCGATTTCACAATTTCGTCCTCTTTTATTCGATCTTGTCGACGCTTTTTGTCCCGCTATCTGGCTTGTTTTCGACAAATGTGCATTTCTACCTCTACAAATTGTTTTTGCCTATTTTGCAAAACACATTAAACTTTCAGTTGCTTGCTGGTTTACTTCACTTGTGTATTTTCTTTCCTCCAAGAATTGTTTTTGCATATCTACATGACCATTCCATGCTTGCTGTAAAAAAAAATATATAAGTTTTGCCTTTGCTTGTTTACTCCACTTATGTATTTTCCACCAAGAATTGTTTTTGCATGTCTACGTGACCATTCCATGCTTTAAAAAAAATATATTAGTTTTGTCGTTGCTTGTTTACTCCACTTGTGTATTTTTTCCTCCACCTAAGAATTGTTTTTGCATGTTTTGCAAAAACGCATTACGTTTTTTTTTTTAAACAAATACTTTAGGGTCGCGCAACTTATGTAACCCTAATTTTATAGGACGGCAAAAATTGGGTCGTTACAATACATAACCATCAGATATATACAAATCAGGTAACTTATCCTGTCCTGCTTCTATTATTTTTTCCAGTTTCTGGTATTCTTCTGTTAAAAGGGATTCTGACTTGAGATCAATATCAAGCCGCTTGACTCAAAACGAAGTTCTTTCACAAACATCCGTGACAGCGCATCTCGAAGGACATTTTCTGAACCTTTGCAATGTTCTATTTCGAAATTCGAAACACTTGTAGTCTTAGATTCCACCGAGCCAGTCCGCCAGATAAATCTTTCTGATTCATGAGCCATTTTAAGCTAGCATGGTCCGTTATTATCGTGAATGGTTACCCTTTACATACGCCCTAATCTTTTCTCTGCATAACATTCTAATTCTGTTACACTGTAATTTCGTTATGCATTATTTAGTTGAACTGACATGTATGCAGTCGGTCTCTCATTCCCTAACTCATCTATTTAAAATCAAACTCCTCCACCACCATCAATGGGAGCATCACACTGAATATAAAAATAACTCTCAAAATTGAGATTTGTCAGTACTGGTGCAGATACTAAACTATCTTTTAGTTTTCTAATTTCATCTGTAGCATTTTTAGATAAAGAGAATCTTTTTATCTGAACCTTAGTTACACAATCATGCGAAGGTGCCGCAATAGAGGCATAGTCCTTTATGAAACGCCGGTACCAGCCAGTAATACCTAAAAACCGTCGAAGTTGTTTTGACGTTTTGGGTTTAAGAAATTCATTCATTGCTTCCACCTTACTGGGATCAGTACTTATGTTGCCATTTCCTACCACGTAGCCTAAATATTTCACCTCTTTATAGCAAAATTTGCTTTTCTCTACATTCATGAAAAGGTTCGCTCAAACAATTAGCTACCTGTTTAAAGAGTTCCAAATGACTATCGAAATCAGGATAGAAATCAGGATCAGGATAGCACAACCCGAACGGCATGACAGTAAAATGGTAAAGTAGTATACCTGCTATACGGGACAACGGATAGGCATCCCTAATTGTGCGTTCGTTGATTTTTCGCGCATTTAGATTAAGCCTATTTTTGGTATCTTTAATTACTAGTGTTACTGGTAAGTTCCAGGTATTATTACTCTTTTCAATTACTTCTAAACTGAGCATCCTATCCAACTCATCAGACATGAGTTTTTGAATAGCCAGAGATATTGAATAATGTCTTTATTTGACTGGTAAATGTTCATCAATAACTTCTATAACATACTTTTCTAGCGTATTACTCCCTAAACCTAATTCATTTCATGATTGGAATTTTTTAATTATTCGGGCTAGAGCTATTTGCTTCGATTCCGTCAATTTATGAGGATTTGATGTCACTTGGAGATCTGTTGCTGTAGGTACTAATTCTTTTACTTTACAGTTCTTGCTCAATATTGGTATATGAAATGTTTTCCAGAAGTTAATATCAAAATAAAATTCCTTTTATAAAGAAGGGACAACTAAAAAATCCATATATTTTTCTTCACCTTCCCACTGTACTTTTAAAGATACCACTCCAACTATCGGAGTTTTTCCCCCATTGGCAGTCTTAACATGCTTGCCTTGAACTGTAATCCTCCGCTCATTTTTTCTCAGCGCGAAACTCAACCAAACTTTGAAATGAAACTGAAAATATTAAGATCGCTAAGCTGGTTTTTACATTGTTTTTAATGATTGAGGCCAATTCTCTTTCTGGCATTTTTCGTCTTAACTTAAATGTTAAATTGTGAATGTCTTAATAAAATTGTTCAAAATTCTCCCCAACCTGTTGTTTCCTGTCTACAATTTCCTTCATTAACTGAAAATAATCAAACACACTGTCTCCCGAATGATCTTCAAGCACTTGCCAAAACCACTTTAATACTGGTCCTGTCATTTGACAATAAAAATCTGTAAAGCATGATAAGGTAATTCGTACTGTTCACGCATAGGCTCAATCCTAAAGATACAGCTTTCTACCGTCATGTCTCTAGCGGAGCCGTCAAAGTTATATGCCACCTTCCAACATCAGTATATCTTCTGGGCATATGTTCATCCTCCTCAAATAGCATTACCTCTCGCTTGAAAAACCTGGATTATATGTCGTCATCCTTGGCGTCCTTGACACACTCCTACGTGGCAATGGAACTTTAACGCGTGATACCTCCGGTGCAAGTGTGTGATCGCGTAATGTACCCAGAGCAGTCCGCATCTTGTTCATAAAGTTTGTTAAGTACTTATTTCATCATGCCTATTATGCGGTTAAACTGTTCTGTATTGGTTCTATAGCTTGCGCTCCTTGCGTGCTATTACTCTTAACTTTTATTGCGAGTAGACTTTCCAAACGTATTAAGTCTATTTGCGAATTAAAACTAAGCGAGTTATCTGAGGTATTACTTTCAATTATGGTCTCTCTATCTTTATGATTAGGTCTCCTCAAGATCGCTCTTGAAATGCTTCGAGTTATTGGCATGACTCGAAATGTACAAATGTTTTAATTAACACATCTATAACTGTTATTCCACATACCATATACTGTAAAACAATTGTGCACTTATGCCACAAATTCACGTAAAACTTAAATGCTAAGTTTACTTTCGTTCCACATTGTTGTCCGGAAATTTATAAAGGGATTTGAATTTTTTACATCCTTTCGCACATTTGGACAATATTCCGTCCTCAAATGTATCTGAAGTAGTGGGAAAAAGTGAAAAGGTAAAAAATTTCAGTGATTTCAGCTAGTGTTATTGCATTTTATACTAACATTTTCAAGAGGTCCACGGCAAATCGTTGTTGTGCGAAAACACAATTTTTAATTCACAATGGAGTTGCCGTTCTTGTAAAGAAACTGAAGAAAAAATATTACCAAAGCAAAAACCCTTCTATTGTGAACCTTCATTGAAAACAAATATTCCAGTCATTTGTCAAAAGTTGTTTGGAAACAAAAATTTAAATAAAATTAAAAGGTATTATAAATTTTGAAAACAAAACTATTTTAAAAATAAACAAAAATTGTGGAAAATCAATATTTTCAAATTATTTACAATTTACAAATTTTTAAGAATGTATGAAAAAAGTGTAATTGTAAGCACATTCAATGCTTTCCTTTAGTTATACATATTACAAGAACAAAAAATTTCCCTAGCAAAAATATCAAAACATATGGCTTATCACAAAAAAAAAAAAACAATTTAAAATTTAATACTAATTCAAATGAAATTTGAATAACAACGAAATATTGGTTTGATTCAATACTTATTGCGTTCTATCTTAAAAACGATTATTTGTATGATTTTTTTACAGTATTTTACAACTTTAGTAGTAATTTTAATTTCAATGGACGCAATGAATATGACATATTCACAAAAAACTTTTAGTGACATTTGACTTCGAATATCATGATTACAAATATCGCGATTACCTCCATTACACGATATTCTTTTTACATTCTAGCCCACATATGTATTAAATTCCAAAACAAATATTTATAGAACTTTTCAGCTTATGAAATATTCATAGATTTCATTTTTCATCTAATTTAATTGTAGTAATACATAAATACAAAATAAAACTGCTTTTTCGAAAACCGATATCAATATTACTTCAAAAGACTGTTATTTGGTCATTGTCCGCATTTAGGCGAATAAGCCAGAAACGCCTACTATATATATACAAAAACCAACATGAATAAGTATAAATATTTTTGTATTTATTTCTAATTGTACATATATCTTTACATAAAATTATTATATTTCATTTATGATAAAGATCCTAATCTTTTGTAATCCATTTTTTCAAGTTGGACTAAAGGTTTTAATTGTTCAGCAAATATACGCATTTCTTCACTAAGTGCTTCATGTCCATTTGGTGCTAGTACTGACAACTCTACGAGATGACTTTGAGATAGAGACTCACTTCCTACATCTTGCTGGTTACCAGGGATAATTTTTATTATTTTTGCAACGGTTATTTTCATCCGGCCCTTACGAAACATGAAGCCTATATAAAAAAAATCATATTTATCATATTTGGGTTATTTTTTCTGGTCTTACCTCTACTAATGAATTCAAAATCAATGCGACAACCTAGTTCAGTTAGAAAATCTAAAACTGAAGAAGTACATCCGATGTCTATACTAGAACGAACTAGAGTTGGTCGAGATCGGTCCATTTCTGCTTGACCAATGTAACGTAATTGATACGGCATATCGCAGTCCAAAGCTCTACGGGCACGAAGCATTAAGGGAGTTTGATTAAGTTGTCTTAAATTAAAACAAATTTCTAAGTCATTGAACAACTCCGGTGACACATCAATGTTATCGCAGAGTCCTTTCAATCTGAAACACATAAAAAAAATGTTATAAAAAATATCTAAATTTATCAGCAAAATATATAAAAACGTGGTTATTTACTTTAAAATAGTTAGAAAATCTGCCAGAAAAGTTATCAAATTAGAAAAATATAACAGCAGAAAAATAAATATATGTGAAATTTTATATGTTTATTACTCCCTTATTTAGATGTTGACTTCTATTGGAAATGTACTAGTTTAAAAAATGATTTACGATTAAACTGGTAAAAATCTAATTGTTTTAGTTTAGCCATGATATTTACATTCAGCTATCTACTAAGTTAATTTTAAATAGAAATAATTAATATATCTTAACAACAAGATTAGAAAATTTGTAGACTAGTAAAACAAACACATTTAAAATAGTACCGTTCAGAAAATATTTTTTTAGTAGAAAATAAAATTGATATTTTATGGTATTTACACTGGCCTCAAATGCTCATTTTGGTGATAAATCAAAAATGAAAAGCAAATGACTTATTTTTGCATACAAAATCTCAAGCGCAAATAAGATCCATTGGATCTCATTCAGTATAAATGACTTCCAATGAGGTTAGAATAAGTTCCAAATTACATTCATTGAATTACAACGAATATATAAACACCTTTAAATTACTCATTTGAAATGAGCCATTTGAGGCCACTGTAAATGATATATTAATCAGTATCCAGTCAAATTTGTAAGGACGGAAATTTGTGCAAATTTCCACCCTACATAAACAAACATTAACAATAGTACAACAATGATAATTATGAAATAAATTTACAATAAATGAAGAAATATATTTAAATAAATGAATACATACCATAATTATCCACTATTTATATATACATCTTTTAATTACGGATTAATATTTGTTTTATTATAATAAATAAATATATAAATTTGAAAACCACGTATCTTTCATGTATAAATTGAACGAACCATTTCTAACAGATAGCCAAAAAACTCACACACACAGTCAATACTAGATAAGGGAGTTTTAAGAAAAGGTTAATGCTCCCTGTAATTTGCAATACAATGCCAAAAATTAGGCAAAAAAAGCATCAACCTTTGCAAGTACGATGAATCACATTTGTGCGGATGTGCATACAACCAATGAAATAAGGGTGAGTATTCATATAAAAAGGCGCGGAATTTTTATGAAAAATGGCTTAGCGCCAGCATACTGACTTGACACGCACCTACACTGTCGCTAAGTCTTCCTAAGAAATTGTAACGCCAACGGTATTTTGATGCCACAGGTTAGAACCATTATACCACTAATTTAGAACATCACCGGTATTTTGATACCACTGTTTTTTCTGATACAACTGTAAAGATTTCATTGCTTAGTCTCTAGTTGTTAGTTGCTCTTAAAAAAAAGATCAATTTTATAATGGTTTGGGATTTTCTCTGTTTAGCAATGCTAAACTTTGTACTAATAGTTTTTAAAAAATTGGCTGCGCATATTTGCGCAAATTAAAAATAAAACCATTTTTGTTGTACTGTATAGTAAGTACTCTAAAAGTATTCAATCTATTTCAAGTTTGGCTAAATTTAAAGATCAGAAATCAAAGGAAGATATTAACAACGCTTTTAAATTTAAATAAAAATAATTTGCTTCTGACAGAACTAAAATACGTTCAGTAAATGAATTATGGTAATAACATCGAAGTCATGAAAGAAAATTAAAAAACGCCGCAGATGCAACAGAAAAGTTACTATTACGACATGCAAAATTATCAATTTAAAATAGAGTGAAAAATAATAATTTGCATACCTGTAATCTACTAAAGCTAATAAAACTACTAAATGACATCCTTTATAGTTATGATAATCAACTTTTAAAATTTCCCAGATGCAAAAGGTGTTTGGAGCATGTAATTTTTAACATTCGATTTATAAACATATAATTTGCTTAGTTTGGGGCAGTATGAACACTTTCGAAATGAACTTAATTTCATTTTTAAATTTCCGTAAATAAGAAATTAAGGAAATTCGGCTGTCGAACAGAGTATTAAACTAAATTTTGTATAGAAAAAATAACTTAAATTCGTTAAAACGAAAATGAAATTAAGATTTCTGTGAATTTAAGGTGTGTCTGAACATAGTATAAGTTTTAAACGATATAAATACCAAAGTGTTTTATTGAATAAATTAGACTATCATCTCTAGATTTAAATAACACACTTGTTTTCTTTTAAACGTTCTTTTCTAATGTTCTCTACGACACAATTGCTGGCGAAAACAATATCCTATACGGTAGTCGAATCGTGGTGAGCCGGATGTGGCCAAAGCAGGATTGACTGCCAGAAATAATTTACTGTGTGTTTGATGGAGTTGGCAGAGAATCATTTACTATGAACTGCTCCAAAAATTCCAAAACTCTTAACTCAGAACTTTACTGTCAACAATTGGACCGTTAAACCGTCTGAATGAAGCAAACGCCCAGAAATAGCGGCTGTGGAAAATAGGAGAGGGCACACACATCGATAATGCTGCGCCAAAAGTTTCGTGAGCTTGATTGAGAAGTTCTTATGTATCCACCTTATAGTCCACACCTTGCACCAATCTGTGCTAGTTACCATCTATTCCTGTTCATGAAGAACGATGGACGATTTTTTTGGTGAAAATTTCGCTTCAAAAGAGGCCTGTGAAAATTGACTGTCTCAATTTTTGCAAACAGAGACGAGGACTTCTATCAAAATGGTAACAAGTTATTGAACAAAACGGCGCATATTTGACCTAAGTCGGATCATTGTAATTATGCTAAATAAGCCTTTAAATAATAAATTCCTCTTTACTACACCTATTATTACAAGTGTTTCATAACAAAGAGAAAGAAAAACAATAAATTAAGAATATCATGATATCGAAAACTATATTTTAATTGATTGAATGAAATCATAATTTCTTTGAAGGTTTTGTGTCTGACACTACATATTGTCATAATTCTGATGGAAGTATGGAAATAAAACAACAAATGATTCCAGAAGAATCAGAAGAACAACTTTATTTTTTCACTTGCTTATCTTACATTAACATTAATTACTGTTCCCACTGTTCATATGTTCTAAACTAACTAAACTATTTATATTTGCTCTGCAGTTCATGTTTCAACTATTCATACGTTCTAACTTATTAAGCGTATGTAGCCACTACAGAAGCAATATCTGAATTATGTTGGTAATATAAAGACACTACATTTGTCGTTACTATACTTTCTACTGCAAATGATTGTAACACAACACTCTTTACTTGCTTAGAACTTAGCGGATATTTAACAGTAATCGAAGAATCCGAATATTCGACTAGTAAACGAAGTCCTCGAAGTTGGAAATAAATTCGAATTTTTTGTAAATTTTTGTTCTCGAAGTCTTCGAAGTTTAAGTGCAGTGAAAAACTTCGAAGACTTCGTAAGCAAAAGTTGAAGTAAGAGCACAAAATGCAAACAAACGTGTATCACACAAGTTATTTGAGGGATGCAGGTATTTGATTTGTTTGTATGATTTTGTATGAATTTGTTTTTTTGTTTGGTATTTGTAGGTACGATTAAAAATAAGAGTCTAATACTATTTATAAATGCTTTGATAAATTAGCAATGATACAAAAATATTCACCCTAATACAAATGAATTTATTTTAAATAATTATAAATAATATGTAATTAAATTTAGTTAATATATCTATTTTGAATAATTAAGTTATATTAAGTTATATATGTTTATGAATATTCTTCATGAAACCATTGCTACTGTATGGCATAGTACAGTCTTCGCAACCAAACATATTAAGAGCATTTACACTAATAACAACTGTGGTTGCGCTACTCCGCTGTTATCGCATCATATCAAAGGCAAACATCATATTTTTGTATGAAGCCAGTATAAAATTTCAGCAAAAATCAAACTTAAAATACTTTTGAAAAACTTGTGCATTTTATGCACACAAAGCCAGTCATATATTTCAAGAAAAAAAAAATGTACAAAAACAAAGTCCAAGCATCACATTCAAAAATATTGTCTTACATACCCATGCATACAAAGATATTTAGTAAGTGTGCCATAACAAAGAAGAGTAAAAAAGTATTGATCTATCCAGTCCGTAATAAGAAACTTTACTTCATCTTTGGCTCCCTTCTTACGCATGAACCAGAAGCTATGTACGCATTTGCTCTCATATTAGAGTTTTTTCTATATGATTTTGCCTAAGCAAAATATGTTGTGTATGATATTGGTTTGATTGGTGTTTACACTAACAAAATAGCAGTGATCATACATAAAATAATAAGTTCGATTGTTTATACGTTTGAACAGATATGTTTTTCCCATTGCGAGTACATTTTCAGAATTCATGATTTTTCTAACAGAGGCAAATTACATGTGTTTATATTTCTATGTTTTTGATGACAACGAAAAACATAAATGTTACTTACATAGCGTCATCTCTCAAGCTCTCTGCTTGAAATTATGCTATATCAGCAAAAATTCTACAGTTCATCTTTTGACTGTATGTGTGTCATGAATTCTTAAGATGATCACGCGATAGATGATGCGTGTATCTTCTTGAATATTTATAGTAGCGTTTTCTGTTGTAGCTACTGGCTGTCTCAAGTGCGTTTATTAGGGTTTAGTTTATATTGCATTGGAATGTTAAGCTACACTTAACAAAATGCGAATAGTATGAAAAATACTCATTATACTTCTGGATAAGCTGTATACGCATTTTTTAATTTATGGAATTGAATGATTCTAATAAATTATAGAATTTATTATTGAATTTTCTGGGTACAGTGGGGTAAATAAGTAGAGGAGTATTAGCATCAATGGTAATAGTTTTTATTATTATATTCTTATATCAAATTATATATTGGTTTGATTGCTGACTTCACTAACAAAATAGCATTGATCATACATAAAATAATAAGTTCGATTGTTTATATGTTTGAACAGACATGTTTTTCCCATTGCGTGTACCTTTTCAGAATTCATGATTTTTTTAACAGAGGCAAATTACATGTCTTTATATTTCTATGTTTTTGGTTTAGTTTATATTGCATTGGAATGTTAAGCTACACTTAACAAAATGCTAAAGTATGAAATACTATTATACTTGGATGCTGTATAGATTTATTAATTTATGGAATTGAATGATTCTAATAAATTATAGAATTTATTAGTTGAATTTTCTGGGTACAGTGGGGTAAATAAGTAGAGGAGTATTAGCATCAATGGTAATAGGTAACTGTATACCAGCTATATAAACTCAGTAGCCGTGTTCAAGATACTCTCAGCTTGACTCTCAGAAAATGATGAGTTCTTGTAGAATAACCAAATAAATTCTGATATCTACCTTTTCAAATTTTATAAATTTAATTCAAAGATTTACTTGATTTATTACGAATATCGAATCAAATAATTAAACTAGATATAACTACATTATATTAAAACTAAATGAATAATCTGCGTGCCCTGACTCGAATTGCTTTCTAACTTGTAAAACCATGCCAAGCTACAATATTTGTGGAATTTACTAGCAAAGTTTGATGTATTGCAGAACATCACTAAGTTGTAAAATAAATTATAGCTTTAGATTTATTGGTTTCATTGATTTTAAGTTCGTTGAATTTAATGCATAAATTTGACCAAAATGACCAAAAGAAACTATTTTCCAACTAAAAAGTGTTTTCCATTCATTGTTGTTGCTTGTTATTGTTTGAGTTGGTATTTGTATTGTTGTTTTATTTATTTTAACTTTGTGTGTTTGAAAGTGAAGAAACTAAATCGTGTGTATGCGTATAGTTGCTTTTGCAGTCCTTGTAGTTTTTGGTAGAAGGAAATTCAATTGTTCAACATATTCAAAAAAATTGAATGCCAAATTAAATTTGAAATATTATTAAAATATCCGATGAAATTTTTAATGCAGTTTACAGTACGTCGCTTAATGCTTTGATAATATTGTCTTTTACAGTTGCTAAGATGTTAGTCGTCTAGATAAAGTAGTAGTGTTGTTGTTTTGCGTACATATTAGCGACTTCTGATATTAATTGCGCCTTTTGAAATTTTTAATTAATTAAAAAAATAAAGTAATATTTGTTTTGAATACAGTAGTATGTAATGCAAAATAATAAATACATTTATCATAGTAAAAATAATACAAAGCTTAATTAAAAAAAAAATTTTTTTAAATAATAAACAATAAGATAAAAAATTTTATTTTTCATACACAATATAATATAATATGCTTAGCTGCATTGATAACGGTAACATAGATTGTGAGGAAGATTTGAAAATTTTTATTTGGTTTGATTTATTTAAAAAATTTATTTTGAAACAAAATTCAATTTTAGTTATCTGTATAATTAGATTTTTAAATCCTATATTTAAAATTCAAAATAAACGTAACAAAAAATCTATCTCATGAAAAAAAATTAAATTTTGCATCCGCTAAATATTGCGCGAACTTTTCTGTATGCACAATTCGGAGTTGCAACCGAAGTTTTGTTGGAGTGTTTTCTGAATAAACATTATGTTGAAAATTACTGGCAATCCTGTCATATAACATTTGAACATTACAAGAAGATATTACAACGTCTTTCTAAACCCTTTCATACCCGCATTAATTTGAGCGGCGCTTAATTTTTTTCGATAAGATATTCTTAGTAAGTTGAGCCTTAGATATGAACTGGTATAAATTTCAAAGTTTTATGATTCTGGGTTTAACTGTTATTAAATATTACGTATTAACAAAATCTGTCCATAAAAGAACAAATTAACAAAAAAGTATACAATCTACACAAAAAGTTCTTTTGTGTGGATTAGTTCAACTTAATTCAATTTTAATTGAAAATTCAGCAACGGCATATGGTTTGCTTTCCCGCTTTTATTTTTTTCTGGCTCTCCGATATAACAATTTTTGATTTTGTAGAGTTCAAATAATATGTCAGCAAGATCAACATAAGAACATGTGTTCATAATATTATCTAAAATTTTTTGCATTTATACTCTGCGCCTTTGGTTTGTAACGCATATAAATTTGTTTCGTCGCAGATCTTTTGTACTATTTTGTCATCAATGAAATCGTTAAAAGAGTCAATAGGATTTTTGACCATTTCGTAAACTTTCTAGTTTGGTACGAAATGTCACATACGTTCATGTTCAAGTCTTTCCACTGCAAGCTATTCGAATCAGTTCTTTCAAAACTTTCCTACAGCGTTTTCAGCAATAACACTTTCCCTATTTTTCCCAACAACTCAATCCAGTGAATGAATTTCATCACCATTTGCTTTTAAAATGACATGTTATGAACCAATATTGTCTATAGGCACTTTTCAAAAATGTTTTTTTTTTATATTTTATTCTTTTAACTGTTTTTAATAATTAAATCCATTTGTAGCAAAGAAATTGTTTTTTTAAAACTTTTGCACAAACGCTTTTGCTGAATTATTTTTCAAATAAGTAGTCACACAGAAACGAAGCTAGTAATTGAACAAATGCATTGATTATATTATGTGATCCACTTTTTTGTTTTCACAACATACTAAACTATCATTTAAACAAAATGTTCGCAAAAATAATTCAAACAGCTGGATTTATAAGATGAAATGTACAAGATTTCATATTGTTGCCTATAGATAAAATGTACATTTCATTTTGTTGCTAATAGGTAACAATAGACATGAAAGAATTAAATTAGTATCAGATATGAAAAAAAATATTACATCAAATGCAACAAGGCTAAAGATATAAAATTAAATTCAAAATGTTGTACTGAGCCCTTCTTTCATCAGAAGAGTCTAGAACTTGAATATGTCTGGTGAATTCTATGCACGTTTCTTTTTGTTTTACTACATAACTGATTCAAACATATGTATACTTCTATTGTATTATCTTATAGCAAACACATAGAAATATAAAGACATGTAATTTGCCTCTGTTAAAAAAATCATGAATTCTGAAATCGAACTTATTATTTTATATATGATCAATGCTATTTTGTTAGTGAAGTCAGCAATCAAACCAATAGCGAATATGTTGTATTTTGCTTGGACAAAATCATATAGAAAAAAACTCTAATATCAGAGCAAATGCACACATAGCTTCTAGTTCATGCGTATGTAAGTTTCTTGGTAAATTTTTTCTACTCTTCTTTTTATTGCACACTTACTAAGTATATATATGCATGGGTAGGTGAGACAATATTTTTGAATGTGATGCTTCGATTTTGTTTGTGTGCTTTTCTTTTTCTTAAAATATATGACTGCCTTTGTGTGCATGAAATGCACAAGTCTTCCAAATTATTTAAAATTTGATTTTTGCTGAAATTTTATACTGGCTTCATACTAATATATGATGTTTGCCTATGACATGATGCGAAAACACCAGAGTAGCGCAACCACAGTTGTTATTAGTGTAAATGCTTTTAATATCTTTGGCTGTCAAGATTCGGCTATGCCATACAGTAACAATAGTTTCATGAAGAATATTCATAAACACCATATTATACAATAATTGATTATTTTTTATATATTAAATTTTTATTATTATATTCTTATATCAAATACAATAGAATTATTAACTAAATTTTATTATTTGTGTGAGTCCAACCGTAAGAAAAGACCAGATTTGTGGAAAGCCAACAATTGGATTCTTCACCACGATAATGCTCCATCACACACGGCTCTTGTTGCACGCGATTTTTTGACCAAACACGGCACCACTGTCATTGCTCAGGCACCATATTCGCCAGATCTGGATCCGTGTGACTTTTTTCTGTTATGGAAACTCAAATTGCTCCTTCGTGGTAAGCGTTTTAAGTCGATTGAATCGGTAAAAGAGAATTCGCTGAAGGAACTAAAAGCCATACCTTCACGGGCCTACGAAAAGTGTGTGGAAGATTGGGTTAAGTATTGGCATATGTGTATCGCTTCAGAAGGAGCATATTTTGAAGGAGATAAAATATATTTGGAATAAAATTTAAATTTGTGTGTTTTATTTACAAAATCCGATTACTTTTTGAGCAGAAAGTAAGTTAACACACGCGTTTCCCAAATCCGGCCCTGTGCTTAGTTTTATTAACGGAGCAATCATACGATATTATTCGAACGCATGGTTGCTACCAAACGGGACATTCACTTATTTGTCTGGAAAAGTCCCGTTTGGCTTCGGTAGCTCCCAACTTCGCAAAAGTGCGCTCGGTCTCTCCTGCTTGATCTATCGAACAAGCAACATCAAATTACGGACAAAAATTAAAAATAATATTCAACTTATACAGAGTGGTGATATATAGAGTGGTGCTTCCGAAAGCACTGCAGTCCCAAGTAATAAATATGTTACACGAAGGTACTGGGGTGATGTCGTATAAAACAGATGGCAAGCCGATATGTGTATTGTCCGTCCATTGACAAAGCTATAAAACGTATTTATGATGATTGTTCAACTTGTCAACAAGATGCAAACTTTCCATATATTACGGAATTATCAATAATTACAATTGTAACTACAGTTGGAGCTGTGCAAAAATTTTATTTATAGAAGGTCTTCCGTGCACTATCGTGACAGACAACGGAACACAATTTACATGGGTTAGTGGTAAGACAACAAAAGTTATGAAAAAGGAACAACATATTGTCAAAGCGTTATATAAATATCATACAATATATAGAACTACTCCAAACTTAACATCTGAGAAATCGCCTACAGAGTATTTACATGGGCATCAACCGAGAACCATTCTATCGGCGTTATTCTTAAAAGCTATTGAGACGACAAAAACTCAACACAAAAACAAATTCTTACTTGAAAAGAAGGTGTTGGCTCGTAATTATTCGGGACCGTATAAATGAATCAAATTCAAGATACAGAAATTATTAGAAAATAAAATGTATTTCATTCAAACTAAAAATGTTTATATAAATGACAACAAAATCAAATACGTCGAAATTTATCGTCATCGACTTTAATTCAGCTCAGGGCAGATGATGTTGATTTAGATCTTGTTTGTCGGACACAAAAGGAAACAACAACCACCATTTGACTAGCCCGGAACAAAGTCAAAAGAAGACAGACGACATAGTGGGGACCGACGACACACGTGGGTCCACAGAGACTGATCAGTTGAAAGTTCAATTAAGACGGTCGGATAGAAAGAGAAGACAAACCTTTCATTTCGTTTCAGTATTATAAATTTGCTCAATTTGGACATAATAATGATCAATAAAATATGTAACAAATCATTTATCTAAATTTAATAAATAAATTTAATTTAATTTATTTTATTGTATTTATGTTGTCAAAGCCAATTTTCACTCTCATAGTGTTAATGACTTAACATAATTCTTAGCCTTGAACGGTGGGTTGAAATATCAACATTTATCAAAAACAACAGCAACATTTATATATCACACGAGCACACTTTGCTCGTCATATGAAACTACAGATAAGCCTTGCATTTGGAATGTGCAATATTTAATACAGAACATTATGAGGAATGCAAATTCTTTTGTGCAAGGTCGCATACTATAATTATTAAAATAATAATTATGTTTGCAAAGCAAACTCGTATATGAACTTAGTTCAACGTTGAAAGAAAATAAGTTTATAAGCATATACCAGGTTGCTTAGAAATTACGCAAGTTATATTTCCTTTTTGTTTATTTGTAAAATGCATTCAATTTCCATAAGAACTGTGACCGTTACCACAACTAAGCTGAGCGATATCTAATCGCTACTTTAACGCAGCTTAAGGTAAGGGCATTATCGTGGAAATTGTGTACACCTTCCAAAATTGTATAAAAACCAAAACTTTTAATAATAAAATTCAATTCAATCCCAGAATTCTTTGGAGTTTTAATTTGTTTTTAAATGCCGATTAAGACTCAAAGCAAATAGGGTAAGGTTCCTAGTTGCTCACAACACTAAATAAGGATATTATCCAAGAAGCAGTTTACCTGAAGTTGGTTCAAGTGCCAAATTCAGTATTCGCAATAGGAACTGGTTCACGTGCCGGATTCCTAATTATAAACAACACTGAATCGATTCAGGTATCGATTCAGATTCAATAACAAACGAGTTATTGCAGATTTTGGTGACCCTGACGTGATACCCCGTGAGGACCATGTCATCATCAATCCAATGAACCTGCTCAGAAAGGTGTTATCGTTTCATTTACAACCAAGGAAGTTATGGGAGAATTAATTGCCAAACAATCAGACTTAGGCAAACAAATCCAACAATTGATCACTAATTACAAAAAGGACTCAAAAGAGAAGAAGACATCTCCTCGCTACTACGAAGAACGTATTAGGCGACTCAACGAATTATGGGAACAATTTGATTTTAACGACACATAAATCAGGAATTTGCGTTTCAAATTTTACCAACAACTACTTTTAGGAAATCAAGGGATTGTTTGAAAAATATGAGCAGATTTTCGAAAACGAATTGTCCAACAAAATACCTCCAACACCTTCCTCAAAGGAGTCAGCAACAACAGCACCTCAACCAATGCCGTCACCGAGGGAAGGACAATATGGCGCGAGTATAGCATGAATGATACACAAACAAGGTGCAATTTGTGTATCACTGAAGCGACTCATAGCAGGCATCAATCGTCAAACAGGCGTTCAGATGAAATCATTTTACGAAGTGAATATGGCAAGAATCGAGAAGCTATGAAATGAAATTGTAGCCATTAATTTTGAAATTTGGGAGTACACCAATAATCCGACTACAGTGGGATATAAACTCGGCGAGTACTTCGAAAAAGAGTAGTTGGTTCAGTCAACTTTAATTTCGCTAGCTTCAATGAAGACAAATAATGAATAATCACAACAAGGAATCAGTAAACCAGACAGCGCCGGTATATCGCTGCCCAAGGTAACAATACCGAAATTCGACGGCGATTATTTGAAGTGGTGTCAATTCTATGATTTGTTCACTGAAATGATTCACAAGCAGCAGCATCCTAACGCTCAGAAAATGTGGTATCTCAAGGGTAGGTAATCTGGAGAAACAGAAGGTTTAATTCGGCATCTGTCTATAACCAGCGAGAATTAACGGCGTGGAATTTGCTACAAGAACGATATCACAACAATAGAATTATTGTAGCAAT